GCTTTTTGTAAAGAAAAAAGGGGAATAAGATGAATGCATTTGATCATATTACTTGTTTTAGCTGAGTAGTAATGTCAGTAGGCTTCATTTGTATCAGAGCTGTATTTTAATGATATCGGATGCTCGCATATAATCATCATGTTAATTCCAACTTGGCATTTTACTACCAACATGCTTCTAAATAAAAAACTGTAGTGAAGGTTGTTTGCAGGCATATTCATCTTATTAAATGAACACGAAAATATTATCATGTTTTTTTGTGTCAAAATTGTTGATTTCATAATTTTTGTTTTTCATCTCCTGTGAATGCATTAATTATTCACTTGGTTTTAATTTCGCTATTTTCGCTGATAAGTAAAATCCATCACAAAATAGTCCTTGTTTATAGTTTTTGAGTAAAAACTGAAAATTTACTAAATTTTGGCTGGTTCAGAATATAAGTTAAAGGTACAGAAAAATTTGGGCGAGAAAGTCTGGTGGTGAAAAAGTTAAAGCAACTATCAGAATTTTTCAGAGATTTGTAACAAGTATATTTATGAGCACCAGTCTAATAAATGTAACTACATACTCTATGTACTTGTATACAATGTCTTTTTACCGTACAAGCCAACGGTAATGGCTTAGCAATCTCCATTTCCTGGGTGAATGACACATTTTTTTGATGAAAAAATAGTTTGGTGACCAAGTTCTTTGTCTGAATTGTATCTGAACTAACATAAAACAAAACCATATGGTAAAAGTCAGGGAAATCTTGTGATAAGTATTAATACTACCATGCAACATTAAACTACCAAATAAATAGAAATAAAAGACTATTTATACAAATGAGCTGCCATAGTAGATTTTAAATTTAATATTCAGATTACATGACATCTTTTTCATGAAGTTTAGTATAATTATAAAATTATAACAAGTTTGGTAATTTATAGTCACAGATAGTACCTTCAATTTGATAATTGTGCTGATATTACTGGGTAAATTGTTAAATATTGTCACAAGTTATTACACATCAGTTTGACTTCTAGGGATGACACATTGTCATATATGGTGACATTAATATATAATTCAAACCTAAATCAATCAAATAATAGTAAATTTATACATGTACATGTGTTAATATGTGACCTTAGTACTGTCACCGTGAGTCAGTTGAAGGCCGAATGTGTGTTTGATATATTGGTACTGGAGGACTAATAATGACTACATGTGTAGGTGTTTCTGTGCATTTAACGCTGTATGTAAAATATACTTAGACCAATTCTCTTCAAACCTTGCACATACTCAGCACCTAGTCTGATACATATGCATGTGTGTTGATTTTGTGATTGGATCATGGTGGCCGACTGGTGGACATTTTTGTTTTTTAAATACATTAAAGTTAGGTATATTTTGGTATGTCCAGAACTTGAGCATGTTTTGTCCAATTTACTTTCAAACTATGTGGGAGAATTAACCATTATGGGTAGTTGATGCACAGCAATTCTAACTTGTACATGCTTTGAATGATTCACATTATCTGTAGACAGTACATCATTAAGGGATGGCTTATGATAATATTATCAGCTGACCAAAGAT